CCTCTTCACAGCAATGACATAAACACTTTAACCTTAAAATAACTTATTAGATGCACAGTATTAGACACACAAATAATCACATCTAGTGATTATTAGAATCATGTTTACTAGCAACAACACTCCATACTTGGTTTAGTATGTGCTAACTTAATCACAAAATTTCAAGTCCCTACAAAAGCTTTCTCCAGCACATCATATCTACATCACAACATTCACAAAAGATGGCAAACAACACCTTAGCTCCCTGGCTAAGGAGGCATTATTACAGTGGGTTTTTTTTTCCAAAGGGATGTTTCTGCAATTGAAACATCTTCTTTCATAATCATACCTTAGTTAGAACCATAATCCCTCCTTCACCATGGGACCATTCTTCCCTTACACAGAGGTGCCCTTTTCCTAACTAACAATCAGATGTGACAACACATAGCAGATTTTGATCCTAGGGGTAAACTATGCCATGCTTCACCTAAGAAAACTCAAAAAGGGAGTGATTTTCAAGTTTTGTGTTCGGAAAACCTTTGCACCAGGGAATAAGCTAAACCTCAAATAACCTAAATAAGCCAAAGTAATTGCAAACCATGGGGTGAGCTGAGAGCACTGCTAACAGATGGACACCTTTGGGAGACACTGGGGGTGCGTGGTCCTGCAGTTCTCTTCAAAGCCAGATCTGTACTGAAATGAGTATGATTCACACTTTTTCAAAGGCACAGCAGTGCTGAAAGTGTAGAGATTTTTCCAAAGAATCTTGCCTGCAGGAACTGTCATTCTTCCCCACTGCCCTCATCAGTGCTGCCCTAAAGGAAGTACTGTTTGGCATTAGGACAGTAAATATTCTCACAAGTTCACAGTTTTATTTCATCCTGTGCCCTGTTCTCAGCACTGGATGAAGTGCTTGGATAAAATAGTTTCAGCGAGCAAAGAGCAACAGGCAGCCTCTCTTGCTTTTTCTCCTCTAAACTGCTAGCCCAAAGGCTATTTCTATGTATTTTAAATTCTGAAAAGTACACCCATTGCCCCATTCTGAGAATGTTCAGATTAAGGAGAAAAAAGGTTGTTTTTCCTGGAGTCACACTGGAAAAATATTACCATGTTTGTATAGCATTCATGTGATTTAAATACATGATTAGTAATTTTGCTGATCATAGAAGTAGTAACAAATAGTTCCCGTTATACAATTGTGTGAACACAGTGGGTAAAAAAAACCCCAAACCTTCCAAGTATAGTAGTATATTTTTCATGAGTACTATCAAACCCCAGTTTTCATCACAAAAGTCCTAATCTTTCCCCTATGAATTTCCAGGATCCCTGCTTCAAACATGATGGTGTAGCTAACAAATTTTCAAAACCCAGACCCCCACACACTCAGCTGCACTTTACTTTCACATATGGTAGTCTCGTGATCCCACCTGATTTCAGCATGCAAGTACAATGATTAGAAATCTAGTCCCAGAATCCAGTTCAGCACAAGTCAGTGCACAACACATTATTATCCATTACTCTATGTACCTATCAACTACACATTTAAAAATATGGGATTTTTAAACTTTTCTGAGCTATCTTAAAAGTGGTATCAGACGCAAGGTTCAAGACACAGACAGATAGCTTGACAGAAACTATTTTCTATTTATTTTTGCTAAGAACACAGAAAAAAAAATGTGTAGTTGTAACTCTCTGTAATACTTTGTGTCATGCTTCACTTGGGGAAGCCACTGAGTGTTTATGCCAGGCTAGTACAGTCCTAGTTCTTTCAATCAGCATTTAATTAGGCAGATTATCCTTTTAACATAGACTATTTTTTTAGTTTTGTTTGCCCCACATTTTGTCTTAGAAAGTATCATAGTGGGTTTCCTGTTCCATCATGGGGTAGTGTCATTATATTTAAAAAAATATAATATCTCTTGAGCATTTCAAATCCCAATTCATAGATTTTCAACACTTCCTGCAACTCAGACTTGTTTGATTTTTTGGTGGTTCAGGCTTTTCCTTCCCCACTGTTTCTATTTCACACAGAAACTGAAATTGTGAAGAGGACCATTTATGACAGATACTTTATGAACACAGAAGGAGATGATCTGCAAGTTCTCAGGAGCTTAGACTGTCTAAATAGGCAAAAAATGGCAATAATTTTCTAAAATTCACAAGGTAGACCAACAGCAGAGATTAACACCAAGTCTTCTGTCTCCTAGTCCAAAGTCATCTACTAAAACAAAAAATTTTCGTTAAGAAAACACAAGCAAAACTCATTTTGCTACAAAGGAAGGGAAAAAGATTTCCTCCTCAGCAGTACAGTTACAGAGAAGGCAGATAATGTTTCCCCAGGTAGTTAGCAGAGGTAGGTAACAGACTGAAAATGAAATAGTAAAGCTAAGGTTAGAACACTACACTGTATAGGATACAGCTGGCTTTGAAAAAATGATACATTAGTCAAAGATGACATTCACCTCAGTTGAATTCCATGGCTATTTGCAGTCCCAAATCACATGAGCATGTAACTCAAATACTGCCTCCCCACAGGATGTAAAATGATGCCATATGAGAGAATAATATCTTATTACATTCTTTGTATAAAGCAAATGAAAACATTTTATGGCAGAAGCAATAGCAGGGACTCAAACTTAGTACATCAATGGTGGTACAGCAGTACCACGATTTTGCTCTTGGTTAAGTAGTTGTGTGCATTCCCAGGAGACCACCTTGTGCACTGTACTTCCTTTACAACAGTAGTATATTTTTAAACCATTTCTTAATACGATGATTTCAATTTCTTATATGATTATTAAAAAAAATTCTGCTGGTCACAATATAGATGCAACGAATTTTGTAGAACTGATACTAGAATTTATATATATTCAATTGCCTAAAAACTCTAAACCACACTGAAATACAAACATATTCAGCAACATTAACACTAGAGCTGTCTGTTAAAAGTGTCATGTTCCATGCAAAGAAATACACAACATAACCCAAATGTTACACAGCATACTGCTCAAAAGTTTTAAGATATCAAGAAGTGGGTTTGCCTGTACAATCTGAAAGCAAATCTGATTTTCCCTGTGACATAAGCTTTGTGTGATCTTGTATCTTTTATACTTTTTAGAGCCTTTGTATTAGTGTCCAGTTGGCACCCAGACCTTGGACAGAAACTTCCATTTCTTCCTGTATTTAGCCATGATACTAATAATCTAGAGAAGCTGAAGACAAAGTGAAGTAAACACTTACAAGTGTTCTCTGATGATAAGCCTAAGGCAGAGAAATGTTCCTTAGGCATTTACAATTCTGTCCAGAGCTGTATGCTTCTTTCACTAGCTACAGCCAAGAGCAAGTAGCAGGGTTCTGAAAACATTAGAAAATATGTGCTTCAAGTGAGTGACCAGAGGAGCAAAAAGTAATCGGGAGTAATCAACCTGTTAAGAGCTCTGAGAGTCTGTGAATTGGTGCCAAAATCACTGCATTAAGGCCAAAAGACTCATGTGTAAAGACTTAACAGAGTCTTCAACCAGGAAATATGACAAAGTAGACTAAATAATGAGTTCAGTAGCAAGGCCAAATCAAGGATTGCCTAAGACCACCTGATCCTTACGGCGGGACCCAAGCAGCATACTCTGGTTCATACAGACTGGGTTCATTCTTCCAAGGTACAGTTCTTCACTGATAGATATTTCAACATTTTAGTCTAATTAATTCTCTAAGTGCCCAGAGACCATGGCAAAATTCATCTTTCATGGCACACATTACAATTCTTTGTAAAGATCAGTAGATAATAATAGGTATTTTATTAAAAATGAAGGCAAACGCATTATTGGTGAACACCCCACAAAAAAAACTCTGAACAGCAAAACCAGTTCCTCAGTGTACCATTCAAATTTACTAACCTCCTTTTTCTGTTTGAAATGCCCTGCTTTAATCACTTCATTCCTCTAATGTCAGCAAACAGAGACAATTATTCCACTTGCCTTATTCATCTTCAGAACATAGTCCATCCCATGCATTGAATACATTCAGTTTTCTATGGAGAATACCAAACTCCCCTCCACATTCACAATTTTCTATAAAATTCAAGCCCTTATTAGAAGGTATGAGAGTACTTGAGATACCAATGGAAAATACATTTTAAAAGCTTTTCTTCAGTACAAGAACAATTAAGATTTTCCCAGGAATGAGTGGAACACTGTCATTGAAATTTCCTGAGTCAAGGTTTTCCTGAAGGACACCTGAAGATGTTCCTCAGAGGGTAACAATGGGTACATATCCAAGACAAATAGTTAAAGTTTCTCAAACTAATATATAAACAGAAGATAAGAGAGGACCTTTCCATAGAAAGTATAAAGTACTATTGAATTCACATGATCATTTCTACTTATAACAACAGAAATGCTTTTTAACATGTTTGCTGTTTTTTCTGGGATACAGTTACTTTTCTTCATAGTAGCTAGTAAGGGCTGTGTTTTGGATTTGTGCTGAAAACAGTGTTGATGAAAACACAGGGATGTTTTTGTTACTGCTGAGCAGCACTAACACACAGTCAAGGCCTTTTTTGCTTCTCACAGCACCCCACCAATGAGTGGACTGGGAGTGCACAAGGAGGTGGGAGGGGACACAGCCAGGCCAGCTAGGCCAAGCTAATCCAAGGGATATTCCATACCACATGGTGTCATGCTTGGTGTTTAAAGCTGGGGGAACAAGAAAGCAGTGGAGGGATGTCCAGAGTCATGATGTCACCCTAACACATGATGGAGCCCTTCTTTCCTGGGAACAGTTGAACACCTGACTGCCCATGGGAAGCAGTGAATGAATTTCTTGTATTGCTTTGCTTGTATGTGCAGCTTTTGCATTACCTATTAAACTGCCATTATCTCAACCCATGACTTCTCTCAGTTTAATCCTTCCAATTCCCTCCCCATCCCAGGGGTAGTGAGCATACAGCTGCATGGTGCTTGACTGCAAGCTGAGGTTAAATCATGACAGTATGGAATTGCAATTCAAAATAAGTATTAGCTTACCTGACCAGAAAGCGATGTAAACCAACATCAAAACTTCTGTAAGAAAAAAGATTCACAATATTTTAATTATTAAAGAAATATTTTTCTCTTGAGTGTTGTACAGAGACTGTATTTCAAAACATTAATACCAAAGATAAATATAAAGTTACTGGAATTGATAAACCAGAAGCAAAAGTGTAAGACACAATTTCTTTTCTGTAATGACATGAAATTTAAGATGATCATCTTTTAAAATGATTTAGATGCATGTTAAAAATCTCACAAATTCCTTGTTGGAGTATTTATTCAATAAACTATTAACATTCAGACTATTATAACCCACATAAAGCATAAATTGTGTATATTCTGTTACTGAAAATAATGTAAGCATCCTAATGACCAGCAAGTTTGCACATTTTGTCACATGCAAGTAGATCCTCTGTGCAAAACTACTGTGGAATCCTTTCTTTCCTCTTTTCTGCTCTGTACTGCACTAAAACACAAGGGATAGCTGTGAATTCTCTCCATGATAAAGAATAACCAAAAACCCCCTTATGTCTCCTTCAGATATAGAATATACCAAGAAGTAGACCTTCCAAGTGCATTCTGCTCAGATTGGTGAGGAAATTAACTTTGAGGCCTTCTGACAGTAAGTACAAGTTAGATCACATTAGATTACAAGAACCATGTCTGAAATCTCCAGCACTAACAACATACATTGACAGTAACTGTCAGTGTTTCTTTCCATTTTTCATTTCCTCCATTGCTCAGACAACTCAGGAGAACCAAGCTCACGAACAACTAATGGCAAATCTTTGATGCTACATGAAGGTATTTGCTGATTTGAGACATTTACTTAACATCCTAAGTATGTGCCAACTTTATGTGAGTACCAGTATAATTCCAGATTAACTGTGTGCCTAACAGCACAATTGAAAAATGCAAATGTCTTATTTCCAGTGCTGGACTTGCTCTGAAATGGGCTTACATTTCAGGTACACAGCAAACATTTTGGCATATACTAAGCTCTTCAGCATTCTATTCCAAAAGCATAATTGGTCATTTGAGTACAGCACAGTCTTATTTTAACAGTACTGCTTGCAATGTGCTGCTTTCTACCTCAAAGAGCAAGAGAAATCATCAGGTAGTTAATGGCATCCTGATATCAGCAGATAGATAATGAGCTGCAGAAATTCCAGGAGTTAACAGAGAAGGAAATTCCACTGGTTCGGCTGGGTGGAGAGGAACAAATTTTTCACTTAAAAGCTGCCTTGCAATAGAAAAACATTACGTCAGGAACATGAGCTGGTCATCATTAAACCTGTATTTATCACATTCCTTTCCTGAAATCGTTGACCATTTTACATTATTGTTACATTACTGTGCAATTAAACTGCATGAAGTGCATCCAGTTGTCTTTTTTCTTCATTCCTCCTGCCTGGACACATACTGTAATTTGGCTCCCTCTCTTCACTAAAATATTCTTTGTTCTACAGACAGTTTGCAGTATCAGAACTGCCCACAGTGTGTTTTTATAGCTCTGAAAACCTTTTCTTCCTAGGACCAAAAATTCAGTATGTTTGTGCTGGGATGGGGAGCAGAAGAAACTGGTACAGTTTCAGAAGAGAGCTGTATGCTTAACAGCCCTCTTGCACTTCTTCAGCCAAGCTCATCTGCTCAAGTTCTTCAAGCTATTTTCTGATGGCAGTAACCAATCTGGTACACTCTCTGAAGGGACAGAAGAACCAAGCTTCTTGTGGACAGGGATGTGGAGCACAAAAATATCATTGCTTTTGACACTGAACCAAAAGCCAAAGGACTTTGCTTACTACAAGCATGGAACCTGAAAGGTCCTGCTAACTTGAGATGATCAGAGCTGAAGGAGGTTGGGGTGGACAAAGCTAAGGCTGACTGGGTTCAGACAAGGAGGGAAAACAAGACAGTTTGTGTAGATATCATGACATGCCATCTCTTCTCTCATTTTTCACTCTTTGCAAAACATAATGCACTTGCTACTAAAAAAGTTTTGTAAGTTTTTTTCATCTGGGCTTTAGCTATTGAATATTTTTTTGAAATATTTTAATAAGTATTAACAATGAACATGCATAGAAACAATTTATTAGAATAAATGAAAAAGAAAAATTATCAGAGCCTCATTAGGTGTAATTCAGCATACATAGACAGGGTCCATTATTCCTCAGTTGATTTTGTACTGATACATTTCAATAGTCTACCTAAGATCCTCAGTTCTCAACAGTGTAAGCAGTTGTTTAACTATGACCAAAAGAATTTTGAGAATATAAAGCATCATCTGACTGCGCATTTAGATCTTAAAGATCCCACAGGACAGCATCATTGATTAGGTCCAAAAGCAAGAACAACAAGGCTGAACAATTTCAAATTGTAAATGGAAGAAATGGTTGCATTACTTAAGGCTATGGATACTGTGTACATACATCTTGGTTAACGAATAGAAACATTGTGCAAGACAAAAATATTGAGTAGATAGGATTATGGGAGGCTAGTTTTGACAAAAAACTACTACAGACACTTTTCACCATTCTGCTTGTTCATATTTAAATACATACTGCAGCTAAGTCTACAAATAAAGTGAAAATACAGTGAAGTAGCAGAGGCAACAGATCTGGTAGATGCATCTATTCTCAGATGGAAAAATTAAAAAGGGGTAAAGAGGGTTTGTAGAACAATGTTAAGACTGCAACCTGGGGGTGGAATAAGCACCTTCATTAAATAAAAAAAGAGAACAAATAATCACACTGTATTGGCATTAAAAATGTCATAGCAATCCCTTCAACATCAAAGGACTCCACCTATGAGGCACGACAGTGTCCCTCACAATTAACACAAAATTACACCTGCCATATAAAATACATCCATATTTACTTGATATTACAGTATAGTCTATAATAAGCTTCACACAGCTTGTAAAATCCTGAGGTTCTCTGCAAAATACACAATTTATCTGGTAGTTCTTGCAATTTAGGGTGCCTCAGTTACATAAAGGTTTCAGAAATGCTTTCAGAAATCCTGTAACGAGCACAAATTTTCAAAATAAATGTTCTTATTAAAATCTAAAACAAGAGAAAGGATATCCACAGCAATATGAGTGAAAAGTGATTTACCAGTTAGATTCCCTATTCTATTCAAATGTTGGTAGCAATATAGTATTTCAAATTTGTGAAAAATAAGTAAAATCTAGTTTATCAAAATAGTAATGGTCTTTGGACAGCACAAAATCTTGACTAGTCAGTGGAACAATAAAGGGGAGATATATTTAACCTCAATTTCATAATCATAATTACATATTGCAGATAATTTGATAGGGTTTTTTTTTAATAAAAACATCCCTAATTCTGTTCCTCTGAAGGGTGGTTTTGAATCACAGTTCTATACACACCTATGAATGCTTTTGTCAAGCATGGAAGTTTTAGTTTGATAGAATTCAACAAACAGTTATATGTACAATCCATCATCATCAACTACACTAAACCAACAAAGACCTTTTCCAAGAGGTCTTTGAAACCTCTGCCTGCAAGCATACATCTCTCTCCTGAAGGTACATTTTCAAAATTATTTCACAGATGTGCAGCTTCTGCTCTGAAAGCTAAATGAATAATGCAACAACCTGCCTCCAAATTTGCATTCAGCACAAAGCTGATGGGGGGAAATTAAAAAATTATATGCACATGTCATCCATTGGATTGTTCATTTTCCACAAAGCTGTGCTTTCCTTTAACTGAGGTCCACACTCTGGTTCCTCAAAAGAGGAATTGTGTGAGCCTTTAGCATACAACTTTTAAACTCAATGAAGTTATGCCAGCCTATTCTATTTAAGGACTTGACCCCACATTGACCTAGATGAAAACTGCTTCTTGTTAGCTGTGTTAGGGACCACAATTTACAATTCCAGTGTGGTGGCTAAAGGACCCACCCACACAACAAGGTTTGATTGTTCAGACCTCATGCCTAATGATTTACAATGATACAAAAAACATAAGTACTGAGCACATGTCAGGATCATAAGAATCAATTTAAAGTTAAGTTGACTACTAGAGACATTTCTAATGAAATTAATTGCAATAAATTTGAATCACTCAACTCTGATTTTGTATATCCATATTTCTAAGCCATATGCTGAAAGAAACCAGCGAAGTTTGTTTTCTGCCAGCTCCTCCCAGGACTGCTGGGCTGCACGCTACTCCTGGAAACAAAGCATGCAACATGCAGCATCATCTGGGAAGATCTGGCTAATCATGTACTTCAGCAAAGATGCCCACTGCAAGCATCACCACTCAAAAGTAGGCATGGTTCTTACTTTGGGCCCTACTTCAGGGGAGTAGACCTACATAGATAGTTTGGCATTTGCAAAAAAAAAAAAAAAAAAAAAATGTGATACTGTGTACCCACAGACCGTATTGCACAATAGACAGAAATATCCCAGACACCATAAAAACAGTTGTGTTGCCAGTAAACACTTCTGAATGCAGAAAGGGGTGGTGTAACTTCTATTAGCAGGAGAGGAGTTCAAGCAGCAGCACTACCCAACAATTCCCTCGAGCAAACAATATAATTGCACTTAAATCTCTTCAAATCAGTTAGCCTAGTTGCCATTCATGGCAATGATGAAATCCAACAAGTAGGTTACTTGTTCTAGTTCTAGTACTCTGGATATTCACCATCTCAAAAATAGCATTGTAGATGCTGCAATGTTTCAACAACAGTTCTTTGCCATTCCTTTTAAAACATGGCTAAACTTGACATCAGAAAGTCTAACTCATTCCCACATCCTCAGAACAGCCTGCCCTATTTAATTGTAGAACTGTGTTTGCAAGGCCAGCACTTCCATTAGCTGTCTTTTCAAATAAATGTGGCATTTAGCCAGTGAGCTGCTGACCAAAAGTCTCTCCCACAACAGTACATTTTGCACTGGAGACTGAGAGGTCATTGAATGGCATCTGCTTTCACTGACACAGCACTCAAGTCACTTCATTGTTCCTAATTCTCAAGCAATGTCTTACTGGAGGAATGCACAAAAG